ATCTGTACCTGTACATAATGTATCTTGGTTCTTATTTTTTCCCTCATTCCCCTGCCCTCCCTTCATCCCCTCCACCTGTCCCTATTTACAGACTGTTTCTGTTTTTTCCTTTTCATAATCACAAACTGTACCTCATCGTTGTCTGTATCGGGTTTAGAGAACTCATTCATGTGATTTCCTTGTCTTGTGTCGAGCCAGGATGCAGAAGAATGGATAGCATAGCTTTGTGACTGCTCAGAGTATGATGGGAAATCTCAAGTGGCAGGGTAGGGGAAATGAAAGAAGGGAATGGAATTAATATGAGGAAATGAAAAAATGGAAACAAAGTCTTTGTAAATAGAGAGGGGTGGAGGGGTAGAAGGGAGGGCAGGGGAAGGGGGGAAAATAAGAACCAAGAGAGATTACATAAAGGTGCAAATTTCCAATTATGCATGTCATTATATTGTATGCCTAAAATGTACCAATAAAATTAATAATAATAAAAAAGAAATCTCATAGTTGTGGCACCTCCTGATCTAGAAAGGGATGAATCAGCGTAGTTCACCTCACTGATAGACTGTCAATCATCAGCATAGTAGAGACAGAGGCCTCTCTCTCCTTGTTGGTCCTCCAGTAGCAGCTCCTGACAACTCCATCCTGAACTGGAGTTAAACGGGAAAAACTAAGGAGGAAATCACATAGCACTGTTCTCAACTGAGACTAAATAACAGAAGAGCTACAGGAAGAGGAGCAGAGAGGAAGGGAGGGGGAACCCTGAAGGAATGAAAAAAGAATTAAGATGTACCAACTCTCTACAATGAATATAATCATCATGTACTGCAAGCATGTATAATAAAATAAAAAAAATTATAAAATAAAAAAGGATTATATTTGTGTTGTGATCTATCATTGTAGGACTCAATCTCTGTGTGGGTGAATCTCAAATAATTCACCCATAACCCATTTTCTTATCATTTCACTTTCTCCTTATTATTGCCTCGACACCTGGAAACCTCATTTTAATTTATCTTACATGGCAAAATTTCCATACCTCAAACACATTAAATAGTAAGTTTATCATCGATCATTTAAAATAGACAGGAATAGAGACTATTAAAATATGCCAAATAGCCTCCGGCTTTAAAAGATGATAGTACTGTACTGTATCAAATTTGCATCAAATCTGTATTTTCACCAAAGACATTAAATAGCTCAGATTCAAATGGCAGTTTCCTGTGCCCTTCTTCTCTCTACTTTTCCTCCCTACCCCTTGCAGTTGAAATTACCACGTGGGCTCAGTGTTTATCACCCACATTGTTAGACTTCTACCACAGATTTAGATGTACAGATATTTATAGACATTTTATCATATTGTTTTGTAGATTTCAAAATTCTCCATAAATGATGTAACACCATAGATAACCTTTTGAACTTTTTTCTACTTTATATTTTTGAAATGAATACATGCTTCCACAAACAGTTTTAATTTGTTTAGTTTTACTGCTGTAGAGCATTAAGTGCATGTTCTTGAATACAGTTTTCATGTTTGCTTTTATTTATTTTGGTGTCTTTGATAGTCTAAGTGTAAAATATATTTGAAACAAGTGTTACAATTATGCTAATTAACACACCCATCACTTCCATTATTTCACATTTTTATGGTGACAATATTTAATATCTACTTTTTTATTATTTTTTTTCTGGTACCAGAGATCGAACTCAGGACCTTGAGCTTGTGAGGCAGGCACAGTGCCACTGAGATAAATCCCTGGCAATATCTACTCTTTTAGCATATTTCAAGTATTAGACATAGTATTATCAACTGATGTTACCAAATAGTTCATTAAATCTCCAGAACTTATTTATTGTGCATAACTGAACTTCTGTATGCTTTGGCCAATATTTTTCCATCTGGACTTCTCTAGATAGAAATTCATGCATTTCACAATTTTTGCTACATCCTTCAAGAGACAAACTTTTAACCTTTTTCCTTGGGTATGCCAGTGTTTCTGGAGTACATGTCTAGGACAGTGTACTGGTCCCGTTTCTCTCACTGCAATGAGATGCTTGAGATAGTTAACTTATAAAGCAAAAAGATTCATTTTAGTTGGTGGTCCTCTAGGCTCCAGTTTGAGATGGGGAGTAGGAGGGAGGCATTGTTTCGCAATGCTGATGATGTATCCTATCATGGTGGGAGAACATGGCAGAACAGAATTGCTTCACAAGCCAGGAAGCTGAGAGAAGAGGAAGTGATCAAGGTCCCACATTGTGTTGAGGGCATATTTCTAATGAGCAAAGGACCTCCCACTAGGTCCCACCTCCCAGTTTCTACCACTTCCAAATAGTCGCAGGTATTGTCAAAGGTCCACTAACAAGTGAACCACCATTCTGGCCCCTGCAAACTACTGATTTACGAGAGAAAGTTGCTGGAGTTTAGGGTATTAGCATTTTCAGCTTTACTAGATATCCTCAGTGGTTGTCCAGAATCACTGTGTAAATTTAAACTCTTGTCAATGGTATATGGTAGTTATCATAACTCTATATCATTCCTAGTACTTGGTATTATCAAGTTATAACTTTATTTTGTTAATTTGATGCTGTCTCATTATTACTGTAATTTATATCTTTCTACCAGTGTAAGTATCTTTTCATTAATGTATTGTCCATTTAGGTTTCTTGGCATATGAATTCCTGCTTTATATTTTTGTTCATTTATTTTTTTTTGACTTTATCTTTTCCCTTTTAATTATAGTTTTTTATATATTCTAGAGACTAATGCTTCTAAGTTATGCCTGGTATATCGCCTCCTCGTCTGTAGCTTGTCTTTCATTTTGTTTATGACATCCTTTCTTGTGGGTAACTTGTAAATTATGATGTCAATTCATCAGTTCTTTTTAATGGCTTGTGCTCTTTGGACCTTTTAATGCATCTTTTAGATGTAAGGAGGCATTCATTCCACTTGAACAAAGAACTATAAAGACTATGTCTACAAATAGGTAATGTGTGGGAGGCATCACGATATATTAAAAAGGTAGCGAATTGTAAGCATTTGTGTGCATTAGAGAAATAACTCAACTGCTTTGTGTTTCCAAATGCTTTTCTCAATGAAAAGAGGCTTTGAGACTCTAGGAGGTCCTAGACAGTTTAAAAATTTTTAAATAAACCCCAGAGTTTTCTAAAGGATGCAACTTACATCCCAAAATCCCCTTAACAGCCTTCTAAGTTATAGTTAGAATCTTTGTTCTATAACAAAGGCAAAAAAAAGGAAACAAAAGGTTATGCAAATAAGTGATAGGATATCTATCTGAAGTACCTATTTTCTTTTTTAAGTATCTCAGACAAAGGCTTACAGTGAACCCAGTTGATATCTTTTTTCCATATCAATAAATATCATACATACACATTGTAGCATAAATATATGAATTGAATTACTTTCCCTATAATTTTATTGCTAGTTAGCCTAAAGGCAGCTATTTGGAGCTCTCTTGTGCAGTTCTATGCTCTCCTTCTCCAGGGACATTTCACTAAACAATTTAATTAATGCTCTACTTTTGTTTTCCAATTGCTTTGCATGACATTGTCTTCAGCCAACTCAGGAATTTCCCTGATCTCCCCAATTACCATGCTGTCAAACCTGCATATGAATTTGTAGGGGTTTTTTTCACGTATCTTTACGTTTCTTATGTGGCAAATTCAGTTTAACAATTTCACTTACTCCTTCTAAAAGTTTTCATTATGAAGCCATAAGTGAAAAAGATAGATAACTAACTAAATACCATTTTCCTTTACCTTAGTCATAACAATACTGATAATATTATAAGGTTATTTAAAGCCCATAATAAAACTATGAAAATTCAATTGCAATAAGACACAGGTATTTTTACGGTTGTGCATTCATGCATAGGTTAATGTGGGGAGTTTTCATTTGCACCATTCTGGGTGTGAAAAGAGATCCTCAACTTTTGATCAGTAAGCAGTGACATGTGCCATTTTCCCTCTAGTTAGTTTGAGAGGGTGGCTTCATATCACATTAAGCACGGGTGACACTTCTGGCCTCCAATGTAACAGATGACCTTTCTGGAGACCATATCACCTAATAGATCATTTAACTTGAGCAACTCTGACACATGACCAAACTCCTTAAGCATTAGGAAAACATCACAAAAGTCAATGCCATTTTGAAATCTGCTAACATTTTCAATAAGTGTCCACAGCTGCCGTTGGTAGCTTTGAGAATTGTTGCCAATGATGCAGAGGACAGAGTGGAGCTCCGTTCCTCTGAAGTAGACCAATTCTCAGGGGAAGAAAATGAAATCAAGAAATGCCAGAAGAGCATTTCCCCTTCTCTCTTGACCTTATAAAACAATTTTTAGACTATGTTAAAACACCCAGAGATTCTAACCAGCAAGTAAAATAAAAAATGAAGCAAAATAAAATAAAAACTTATTGTTATTGGAAACAAAGACACAATCAGGAAAAATTTGTTGAGTGAACAAGTGACAAGAGCACCAGCTGAACATTTCTATGACTAAGTACAGCCATAGACGTCTTACTCTTTGATGCTCCTGTTCAGCTACTTTACAGTTAGTTATTGTGTATCCACCTTGTGGGGGGGACCTGGGCTGGGCCTTGGTAATTCAGTGGTGAGAGCAGACACTGTCCCTGCTCTTGTAGAATACATGCTCAAAGGGAGGAGAGTACCATTAATCCAATAATCTCACAAAGAAATTTAAAATTACAACTGTGCTAAGTGCTACCAAAGACAGGCACATGACACGTGAAGGCTTGAGCATTGGAGATTGCTTCTCTGAAGAGATGATGGTTAAATTGCAAGCTGAGGATGAACAGAAATTAAATATAGTAAAAGAGTAAAGAAACATTCTAGGCCAAGCACAGGGTGTGCCAAGGCCATGGAATGAGAGAAAGAGGAATGTGATGTAGTGGCTTGGGAGGCTGGAGAAATACACAGAGCCCAGAGTTTTACCATTTTGTCATCCGTATTTAAATGTTTTTATCCCCAGAAATACAGAAAGCCACTGAAGAATTTAAGCAGGAGGAGGACTTGATGTAATTTGAATTCCAAAAAGCTCATTCTGCCATACAGCAAACGGAGATCTCACAATTTGCATGGACAGCCTGGTGAGGAGGCCCTTGCAGCGATTCTGATTCATTTCGTGTCTCTTGAATTAGAGTCATAGCGATGGAGATGATTATAGGTAAATACGTGAGGTGGAAGTAATAGGACTTGGTTGTACATTAGAAAACGATAGCTAGAAAGTGGAAGAATTGGAAATGGAGGTAAAGAAACAAGAGTTAAAGATGATCAGCTCCAGCTCTGCTTGCATTACCAGGTGGCTGTGATGCCATTCCCTGACTCAGGAACACTGGCAGTGGATCTTCTTTATTTAGGGAGGAAGGTTACAGTTGGACTTGGGGACAATTTATCTTGTACCTTTGGGTGTATGGGTTTAAAGTTTAGAAGAGAAGTCTAGATGATAGATACCAAATACAGTATTGGCAATTATTGAGGATATGAAAATAAGTATTTTACCTGCTCCATAACAGTACACTGCACAGTTCAGAACACATCTATGTCCAGATGTGTGGGGAATTTCCCCCCACAAATCAAATAATCTGTAGGGGAAACCTGCTGGGTGTTCTCTATTTCAGTTCAATTCAGAGAGCAATTACCAAGCGATGGTGTCAGGTCTCACAGTCTGATAAGGCTTAGTCTGGTAAGACTGTCCCTCACTGCCAATATGAGTTATGAGCCCCTGGTTGTGGGCTTCTGATTACCAGCTATAAATTGAAGTTTTCATGAGCCCCTCCTCAGATTTCATTTGCTAGAGTGGCTGGCACAACTCAGGGGAAAACCTTTTTTTTTACTGGGTTTACATATAAAGGATGTTAAAAAGGATATAGATGAACAGCTAGACAAAATGGGTGCATAGGACACGTAATGTGGGAAGGGGAGGGGAGCATGCATGCTCTCTCTAGGTGCACCATGCTTTGGATAACTCTGTGTGTTCACATATCAGGAAACTGTCTGACCTCAGTCCTTCTGGAATTTTATGGAAGCTTCATAAAGCAGGCAGGATTGATTACATCGCTGGTCCTTGTTAGTTCACTCAACTTTCAGACCCTCTTTGCTGTCAAAAAGTGGAAGGGCAGGACTGAAAGCATCAGCCCTTTAATCATATGGTTGATTTCTCTGGCAACTTCCCTCATCCTGGAGACAATCCAGGAGCCATGTCATTAGCATAAAAAAGACAAAACACCTGAAATCCCAAGAATTTTAGGAGCTCTGTGTTGGGAAACTGGGCCAAGTCTGAATAGAGATTACATGCAGCTGTACGTAGATAGGGACTCTTATTATAAGTCATACTCTCACAGGAATCACCTGTACACATATAGGTGCTAATTGAAGGTAAAGTACTCTGGTAGACAGAATAATGGTCTCCTAAAGATGTCCACGTTCTAATTTTCATAACCTGAGAATGTTATTTTACACAGGAAAGGGGATTAAGGAAATAGCTGGAATTAATGTTGCTATTCTACTAATACACATTAAGAAGTATTAAATTCAACTAAATTTGGACTAAAAAGCTTCTGAACTCTTATGCTTGTGTTCTTACATATAAGGCTATAACTGGCCAGGGATTTCCAGTGCCAAAAAAAAAAAGCTACAACCTAACTCAGTACAAAAAACATAATTTTGAATTTTCCTTTGTAACATAGCCAAGTCTCACCTGATCACAGTGGCTGATCATCAGTCTAGTTTGAAATACAGCAAATGCCAAGTTTTAAGCAATTGAGACAACTCTGTGCCTCATTTCTGTTTTCTGTACATCTCTTCTTTGTCCTTTTTGTAAATGTCATACAACCATGTGATGTGAGAGCCATAGATTCTTAGAGAACCGTCCTAATTTTAGGGGCTGCCTGATTTGTAAACTGTTCTTTGCTCAATTAAACTGTTAATTTGTCCAAAGTTTTTCTTTTAACAGATTGTCCTGGGTTGTCTGATGAACACAACATATTTACAAGGGTTCTTAAATGTGGAGAGGGAGGCATAGGAGTCAGCATCAGGGAAAGACTTGACCACATTGCAAGCTGTTAAATGCAAAGAGGGTTCTAGGCAAAGAATAGAGCCAACTCTAGAAGCTTAAAAAGGCAAGAAAACAGATTTTCCTTTAGAGTCTTCCACAGGTAACACAACCCACTGAAATCCTGAGTTTTAGTCCAGTGAGGCCCAGTTTGAAATTTTGATTTCCAGAACTGTAAGATAATAAATTCCTGTAATTCTCAGCTACTGGGTTTGCAGTTGTTTGTCACAGCAGCAATAGAACCTTAAGAAACATACAGAGAAAGAGGGGATAAACGTAAGTGAAGGAATTCTGTCATGCAGTGGTTGTCTAAAGAAGGATATATATAAGCAAATGAGACGGGACAAAAGGTAGAAGAAAACCAGGTAAATGTAGAGTTCTGGAAGGAAGAAGAGAGAACTGTTCAAGGAAGAAGTCAAAGAAGGTGAGAGAATCATTGGATCAGTGGACAGGGCCTCACAGGGACCTTCAGGATAGTTGTTTTGTTGAAATGAGTGGTGCATTCACTATATTTGGATAGAATGTGATATTAATAGAGTCAAAAAGGCATAGATAGAGAGTATGGACCACTCTTTGCAGAAGTTTGCGCAGTAGAAGGAAAAATAATAAACATAATTAACTTGGAACTATGCTTCTGAAAGAACCTTGGTACTATTTACAATTTGGTTCAAATGATTCTTTGTTGTGAGGACTGTCTTGCACCTCATAAGATGCTTAGTAACTTCCCTGGTTTCTATCCACAAGATGCCACTAGCAATTTCCCTTCCATGTGAAAAACTAAAACTATTTCTAGACATTATCAAATGTCCCCCAAAGAGGGAGAGAGGAAACAACTGGTTGAAAACAACTACTTTGGATAGATAACATCGAATTCCTTGAATTTAATTGTGTCCGGGTACATCAAACATGTATTTTTCTAAAGCCTGAAAGGCTAACACGTGAGTAGGGTGTTGTTTGATTGAATTCTTTAAAGCTCATGTCCTACAGAAAGACACCATTTTCTGGGTTCCTATCCTGAACTGATGCAGAGTGATTTTGTGTAATTGGCATCGTGCATGCTGTTGTATAAGAATCTGAACTGGTGGGCCCATGCTGGAATCTAATCTCATTCTAATTCTACCCATACCATTTATTCCAGATCAGTGACAGAATAATAGTTGAACAGAATGGTTCTAAGAAGTTGCCCCCCAGTCTAGTATCATCTGCTTGCAAGAATTCTAATAGCATTAGCTGAAATCTCAAAGCAGGTGCCCATCAAATCATGTGGGAACATTTCACAGTGTGAGAAACTATGACAGACAGTCTGCATTCCAACATGGCTGCTGTGACATTTCAGAAATTTAATGGGAAATAGAGTCCATACCTTGTTTTTGAGCTTTGAAGAAAAGAATTGCTTTTTTTTTTTTGAATGAGTGCATATGTTGCATCTCAGAGTAATGAGAACTCGATTTCTCTTACCGTCATTCTCAAGCACTTGGGAATTGGCTCTTTAGGGGTGTCTAAAGTGCTGTGTTATGAAGAATCTGATTTATTTTATGGCTTTAATAATGCACTATGTAGTTTGTGGAGAAGGATATGGAGAAGGCCTTCTAAAGTAAATTAAAAGCAAATTTTCACACTTGATCACACATGTGATAGTGCGAATAACCCAGTGATGAGACATATGCTTTATTAGAGGTCAATGTGCTCATTGTGGTTATTAAATTTTTTAGTATTTTAATAAGAGTCCTTTCCTCCCAACCCAGTTTCTCCATCTTTCTGATGCTTATTTAAAATTATAGTTCAGATCTGATGTGGCCTCATTCTGCACACTAAGACTACATTCAGCACTATACATTTTAAGCTATTCCTGCCAAACCCAGTTGAACTGTAAAGGACAATGGTTTTTAAAGTTCTAATTATATTAGTAGTACATGAACTTGTTTTGTTTTTTTTTATAGAAACCACTAACAATGAAGATAAAATAAAAGTCTGCTGCAGTGTGTGCTCTTCCCAGTTCAGCTTCTATTTTGGGCATAAAGAATGATGTATGTGTGGGGTTTATCATTCTAAAACTGTTTGAATTAATTTGCACGTACAGACAGCCCTGGCTTAGGGTGGTAGAATTTACAATTTTTTGATAACCTGATGGTGCAAACATGATATGTACTCAGTAGAAACAATACTTCAAAATTTGAACTTTGATATTTTCCTGGACTAGCAATCAGCAGTACAATTCTTTCTTGAGATGCTGAGCCATGGGTAGAAGCTGCAGCTTACAGCCGCATAGCTAGCAAGTAAACAATGAATATAGTGCCCCACCCTGCCAAGCTATGATGCTCTATACATTAAGTGTGCTAAAGGCATTTTTGATTTATGGTATTTTCAGTCCGTGATGATTTTATCCAGGTATAACTCTATCTTAAGTATATGGATCTTTATGATATTGTATCAATTTGTTTAATTTAGGGCTGTTGTGTTTTTACAAATGGGGTGGAATTCCTTCTATTATTTTGTAACTTTTAGCATAGAGTATGCATCATTCAAGATAAACATACATGGCAATCAAGTGTGGTGCCACTTACTGTAGACTTAGCTACTCAAGAGGCCCAAGGCAGGAGAATCATTGGAGGATAGGAATTAGAGGCCAGTCTGGGCAACATAGACTCAATCTCTGGAAAAAAATAAATACATAGATATATTAAATAAACATAGAGGAACTTGAATACATTACTTAGCAAGTGTCTTAATTTTTTAATGGCTTTTTTACAAAAAAAAGTGTTAGGTTCATGGCAAAATTGAGTGGAAGTTTGAGATTTATTTGTATTTACCCACACACAGGCTTCCTGATTATCAACACCCCCACCGGGGTAGTAAATTTGTTACAATTGATGAACCTGCACTGATAGACCCTAATTGCCTGGATTCATTTTGGTGTTGTATAGTCTGAGGGTTTGGACAAGTATATCAGGTGTACATTCACTGCTACAGTTTCATAGAGCACATTTTCACCACCCTGAAAATCCTATATGCTCAACCTGTTCATCCATCCTTTCT